AATGGGTAGCATGCTTATTGGCTGGTAGCCCTGGTCAGCCTCTTTAGAAGGCATTTTGCACATGGTCAAACCCTTGCCTTGAAAAAGACTGAAGAAAGTCAGTGACTGCAAGATGGTCAGCCACAGAGACAAGAGCAGAGCCCAGAGGATCTGTGGAAGACAAAGAGCTGGTTTAGTAACAGTTCAACCCCAGACATCTAGAAGTCTTAAGTGATGAGTCTCTGGAGAGTCTCCACTGATTTGAGAGATGCAGCAAAAGGAATAAACAATAATATGAGTTCTTAAGATACTGAGTTTGGGAAGTTTAGACTCTAATCTACCTTTTAGGTAATGACAATAGGCTTCAAAATACAAAGGGTACAAAAAAGCCAAGGCATCCACTCCAAGTGAAACACCAGCAAAAGAAAAGATCCTTTAAAAAAGAAAAAAAAAAGGGGCGCCTGGGTGGCTTAGTCGTTAAGCGTCTGCCTTCGGCTCAGGTCATGATCCCAGGGTTGTGGAATCGAGCCCCTCATTGGGCTCCCTGCTCGGCGGGAAGCCTGCTTCTCCCTCTCCCACATCCCCTGCTTGTGTTCCCTCTCGCTGTGTCTCTCTCTGTCAAATAAATAAATAAAATCTTAAAAAAAAAGAAAAGTCTGCCTTTGTTTTTTATAACCCTGGAATCTGGAAAAAATTTAAATTATTTTAAAAATGCCTACTAGCCTTTAATCATGTGAAAACCTGCTTAAGCTCACTTTTAATCAATTTTTAAAATTTTAATTACATCAGAAAATTAATGCAAATGAAAGCCATATTGAGATACCAATTTTCATGTTTCAAATTGGTAAAAATTCCAAAATTAGATGACACTCACTGTTGGCAAGGCTTTGGAAAGAGGAACCCTAATAGTTGCTGGTGAGAATGCAAAATGATACAAGCTCTCTGGAGGGCAGTTGGGCAATATCTATCAGATTGCATGTGTATTTCCTCTGTGATCCGCAGTCTCACTTTGAAGACCTTTGTTCTACACAGACGTGTCATTTCATGTGTGCATTGCAGGTATAATTTACATGGCTTTTTTTGTAGAAGTGCAGTTAAGAGAATTTTTGGAAACAACCACTGTGTCCATCTAAAAGGGATTTGTTAAAAAAACAAAACAAAAACAAACCCTGTGTTTTTCAGTGTAGCCACACAATAGAATACTGTGCAGCTTAAAGAAAATAAAAAAGAGAAAATCTGCACATACTGATACAGAGGAAGATCTCTAGGCTATATTGTAAAAGGAGGGTAGAGGGAGTACAGAGTCCTACCTTTTGTATAAGAAATGGTGAGAAATATGTGTATATTATATATTCTAGAAGGCTCTACAAGAAACTAATAAAAGTGGTTATCTAAAGAGGACTTGGGGGAAACTAGATGGGAGTGAGACTTTCTGGTGTGCACCTTTTGATACACATAGTTTTGATTTTTGTACCATATGATTATATGGTTTTCCAAAAAAATTGTTTTTAAGAAAATGTTCCTTCTAAACAGATGTCATTTGTTTTCAGAATTTTAAGAAGAGATATTTACAAAAGTGATTGTTGAAGCAAGAAACATAATTCTAAAATAAAGAGAAATTGATTAAGTTTTCCTAATATACAAAATGTAGTCTTGTGGTGGGTAAGCCCTGTCTACGTCGTCTGATTGTCTGTCTAAAAGAGGACACGTTGGCCCACCACAGCTGCATCGCTGAACACAGGCTAGCAGAGAGGCTAGGGTGGCTGTCCTGTCTCCTGCATCTCCATTCCCTCCGCTGAGTGAAATTTTAGGAAGGGGTGGTTCGGTGGGATGCTGTGGTTCAGAACTCATGACCCAGAACATCTTTTTTAACTTTTTATTGTGGAAGTTTTCAAAATACACAAAAGTAGAAGAGTGTGATTGACTCGAATAACATGGGTTTGAACTGCATAGGTCCACTTACACATGGATTTTTTTTTTTTTTTGGTAAATACACTACAGGGCTATAAATGTACTTTCCTTATGATTTTCTTAACGTTTTCTTTTCTCTAGCTTTATTATAAGAGTACAATATGTAATATAACATACAAAATATATATTAGTCAACTGTTGATGTTATTGGTAAGGCTTTTGGTCAACGGTTAAGTATCTGAGGAGTCAAAAGTACATGGATTTTCGACTGTGAAGGTGGGTCAGCATCCCTGACCCCTAGGTTGTTCAAGGGTCAGCTTTATAATGAATTCCCATCTACCTATCATTCTAGCTTCAATAATTAAAAATAATTGTACCTTTTAAAAAATCTATCCCCTGCCTTTTTTTTTCCCCCTGGGACATTTTAAAGCAAACCTTAAATCCTGTCATTTCACCCAGTTACTTTAGTATGTGCCTCTAAAAACTGAAGATCAAAAAAATGACACTACAGATCACAGTATCTTATCCTGAAATTTCACTGTGTCCTATTTTTTAGAAAGATAAAGGAAACTTCTCCTCTGTACTCACTAGTCTTTCCCTCCTCACTGGGATAATTTCCACTCAGCATACACAAAAGGTTGAATATCTCCTGTCTTAAAAAAAAAAAAAAATTCAGACCCAGTCGGTTAAGCCAAAACTCTTGGTTTGGGCTCAGGTTGTGGTCTTAGGGTGTCGTGGGATCGAGCCCCAAATGGGGCTCCACGCTCAGCCCAGGGTCTGCTTACGACTCTCCCTCCCTCTGCCCCTCCCGCCTGCTGCACGTGCATGCAGTCTTTCTCTCTCTCTCAAATAAGTAAATCTTCAAAACAAATTTTTTTCAGGCCTCCCTTATCCTTACATTCCCCTCCCTCTGCTGTTCCCTTCCTCATGCCTTTGAAAAAAATGTCAGTATCCATTTGCCTAATTCTAATTCTCAGCCAGTTCCAGCCTGACCCCCATCACTACCATACCTTAAAGTGTTCTTGCTACAGTCGGTCACAGGTGACTTACATGGTAAATAAATCCAATGGACACCGGTTTTTATCTTACTTGCTATCTCTGCAGCCTTCAGCACAGGTGACCTCTCCCTCCTAATACTAACAATGAATGATTGTTAATTGAGTACGCACTGTGTTCAGCTCATTATAGGAATTGTCTCATTTGATTTTTTAAAAAAAGATTTTATTTATTTGACAGAGAGGGAGCACAAGCAGGGGGAGGGGCAGAGGGAGAGGGAGAAGCAGGCTCCCCATGGAGCAGGGAGCCCAATGTGAGGCTCGATCCCAGGACCCCGGGATCATGAGCTGAGCCAAAGGCAGACGTTTAACCAACTGAGCCACCCAGGCACCCCTCATTTGATTGTTTAATATCTATTTAAGGTAGGTGCCATTATTCACATTTTATAGGTGAAGGAGCTGAACTTGAGAGGTTGAGTAACTACTGGTAAGTGGCAGAGCAAGGGTTTAAATTCAGGCATCATCTGATCCTGCTGCCTCTATGAAACACTCCCATCACACCCTGCTATCCTGGGTTTTCTGGGTTTTATTCCTCTTTCTCTTTCAGTTTGGGGGGTGTGTCTATGTGTTTTGCAGCTTCTCCTTCTTCCTGGCCTTTATATGTTAGGAGTTTCTCAGGCTTTCCTCCCAGGTCCTCTTTTCACTACTGCTCAGCAGTCTCACACACACCTATGGTTTCAATTACCATATTGAAGGTGATGAGCTCCCAGTATATATCTTTGGCTTAGAGCTGCTTCTGGGCTCTAGACAAACATATCCACCTATCTCCTCAACAGTCCAAAACCCAACATACAAGGAATTTGCTTCCATATGTTGCCTTTTTTGCTTAATGATACAGCCATCCACCAGCTGCTCAGCAGAAAGCTGGGAATGCTTTCTTAGCTCCCGTAAACAATCACCAAATCCATTATTGTGTCTTGTATCTCACTCATTCATCTATTCCCTTAAGGAAAGCCCCCCATCTCTGCCCAGTTCTTCCATAGGATCCACCTATTATATATTCTCAGAGGACCTTGTACTTGTCTCTCTCCCCTTTGCAACATTTTCCATGATTATATTCACTTGCTTGTGTTAACTTTTTGTTTGCATTCCTTTGGAAAGAATGGAGTTTACTTTTTTTATTCCTTTAGAACATTCAGTGAGGGTCCAAGACAGTCTTGTTTGTTATTGTATCCCCAGTCGCTAGCAGAGTGCCTGGCACAGAGGCATCATTAAATATTTGCTGAATGAAAAAATGAAGAGAAGTTTGTTTTAGGAAAATCCCTAACAAGAATGATTGGTATGAAGGGTTAACTCCTGGAGACAGACTTAACAAGATTTCTGTTGGTCAAGCTATAGAAGGGAGCTAAAGAATTGCCAGTAGAGTTTAGAGAAGTGGGGTAGTTGGGGATGTGGCAGTTGCAGGACTTGCTGACTGTTGTTACCATGTGTGAAGTAAGAGAAGGGGGTGTTAAGGATGCAGCCGACTTCTAGCTTTGAAGTGAGGGAATCGTGATTCCATTCCTTGAGAGGATCAGATATGAAGGGAAGAATACTGACTTTAATTTTGGACCTTGTTGTCTTGGAAAAACTCCTGTAGGACACCCAGATGGGGAGAACCAGTGGGCAATTATAAAAATGGAAATGGAATTCAGGAGAGAGATACAGGTTTCACCTCATCACTGAGGAAAAGCAGTAAAATACTATTGACTGTTCAAGTGTAAACTGGTAACAGTGTAATCACTGAGACTTTATCTTTGGCACAGTGATGGTAGATATTTTGGTACTTCTTAAATTGGGAGTGGATGTTGTAGGCATATGTGGTATACAGAGGTGGGATTTTTTACACTGATATCATTTAACATCCTGAGTGCATTAACTAATAATAGCTGTGAACCCACACATGTATTCTTTATATTAAACAAACAGATTTCATTTTAATTATGCTGTTTTGTTCATGCTAATTTACGCTTTTTTTTTTTTAACTTAAAAACAATAATGAAACTCCACCAGACTGTAAACTCCATGAGGACTTGTGGCATGTGATCTAATTTTTTTCCCCTCTTATTTCTCTAGGGCCTATTCCCTGGTGGATTCCAGTCAAGTGTCTACATTTCTGATTTCCATTCTACTTATAGTCTATGGTAGTTTCAGGTGAGTTTCTCTCAATATGTATGGATTTCAGTTGGAGGTGGAAGAAGCATTACTCTGAAAGTGTGAAAACTTACTGCTCTGTGAAGAGAAACATGACTAACAAGAATTGAGTTAGAGTGGAATAATTCTGATATTTATTCTTTGGTTGGCTGCTGTTAAAATACTTCATTTTAATGCAAACGTGTAAAAAATGCTTAAAAATTAAAATTTAAGATTGCTTTAATTCTGGTTTTGGAAATAATGACTCACATAAGTGTATTCATTGAAAAGATCAAGGAGAGAATCCTTGACAGTGATTCTACAGAGTTTGAAAGGGAACAGAAAGTTTTCCTTAATATAGAGGCATTGACATTGGTTGAGCCATATGCAGTTACCAATGGTCTACTCTTTTGACCTACAGAAATGATTTCATACAGTTCAACCTACTATTACTAGGATTGTGCCCAAGAATCATTCACCAAGTATTCTCTCTACTGAACTTCGCAATGCTGAGACTGGATCCTCTTGAAATCCCTGTCCTACCAGGCAGCCGTAGGAATGGAATACAAAGGAAAATCCAGAAGCTAGGCGCTTGCTGCTGCTTTTCCCTCCTTATTTGAGAGAGAGGAACTTTAGTGGTTGTATAACTCAGATGTTTTGTGGATTATATATTTACAAATGAAGGCTGCCTGAGAAATTTTAAATAGAGAACTTGAAAGGGGTTGGCAGTGATAAATGAAATAATCAGGTATAAGGATTTTGAACTGCCCAGTTTTATAGCTGTACTTGAATGAGTATTTGATAAAATCAGACCTCTAGGCTTTATCTCAACTCTGGGTAGAACAGGTAAAATACTATTGATAATTCCGGTATCAGCTGATGAAAGTTTTAATCATTGAGATTTCTACTGAGAGCCCTAGGTTCATAACCACTCTTAGGAAGCATTAATCAAACTAGAGGAATTTAGAACCTTATCAACATAATCTTGATATTTTATATCTATACTTTGGACAAGTTTTTTATTTTTTCTCTTTGAGTATATAGTGTATCAACATTTCAAAAACTACTTTGTAATTAAAAACAAAATCTTTTAGACTCAAAATTCTGATACTACTTTCATTAGTAGAAATGACTTTTTGTTTGCAAAAATATAATTTATATACCGTGTACATTTTCATATGTAAATCATTTATATTTGATTATTTTTACCTAACAAAAAATGTTTTCCATAATCTTCATACAAATTTTTAGTAATTTGATATTTCTTTGTGTTACTGTCTTACTCCACTATTATTGGACATGTGGATTGTTAAAGTGACCATCTTTTTATGTGTTCTTTGGCTGGTTAAATTATTTCCTTAAGACAAATATCTAGAAGTTGAAAAACTTTGTCAGAGAGTGTGAATTGCCTCTTACTACATACATATGGCCATACTGTTTTCCAGAAAGGTTATACCAATTATATGACTGGGCAAATTTTAAACAAAATTTTATGTAATAAATGTAGAATTATATAGATGGAAAGGATTTTTCTGGTCAGCTCTCTTATTTTACAAATGGAGGAACTGAAGCCCAACAAGATAAAGTAACTTCACAAAGATTACACAACTGTTTGCTAACAAACTCTGGATTGGAACCCAGTTCTTAATACTTCTGGTCCGTCCAATACATTATGTCTTTTATACTTTAAGGCATTTAAATTGACCTCACTGAATAAGTCTGGAAGTGTTTTCTTCTGTTTCCTGGAAAAGATTATTCAAAATTGTGTTATTTCTTTTTTATGTATATGATAGAACTCACCAGTGATACCACCTAAGCTGGGCTTTTCTTTGTGGGAAGATCATTTTTTTTTCCTACTTTGTTCACTGCTATCTTTTTTTTAAGTATTAGGACTATAAAAAATTTTTTTATTGTGATAAAATATAAAATTTACTATTTTTAACCATTTTTAATTATACAGTTCAAACCATAGCATGTTGGAGCTTTTTTTAAGCACACGTTACTGTTCTTTTATTACAGCCATTTTAGTACTAGGATGTGAAATAATACCTCATTTTGGCTTTGATTGCATTTCCCTAATAACGCAGATTAGAATGTTGAAAAGATGTTGAGCATCTTTTCATGTGCTTATTGGCCATATGTTTTTCTTCTTTGGTTAAATGTCTATTCAGATCTTTGGCCATTTTTAAATTGGGTTGTTTTTGTTATACGGAGTTGTAACATTTCTTTAAATATTCTAGGTACAAGTTCTCTCTCAGTCATAGGGTTTGCAAATGTCTTCTCCTAGTCTCTGCCTTTATATCTTCCTTTTTTTTTTTAAGATTTTATTTAGAGAGAGAGAGAATGAGAGATAGAGAGCACTAGAGGGAAGAGAGGGTCAGAGGGAGAAGCAGACTCCCCGCTGAGCAGGGAGCCCAATGCGGGACTTGATCCGGGGACTCCAGGATCATGACCTGAGCCGAAGGCAGTCGCTTAACCAACTGAGCCACCCAGGCGCCCTGCCTTTATATCTTCTTAATACTGTCTTTCATAGTGTAAGCGTCTTAAATTTTGATAAAGTCCACCTTACCAACTTTTTGTATCATGTTTTTGGTGAAAAGTTGTTTCCTAATTCATGGGCACAAAGAGTTTCTCATGTTTTCTTTAAAAATTTTTCTAGTTTTATTGCTTTCCTTTAAGTCCATAATTCATTGTGAGTTAATTATTTTGTGTGGCATGAAGTAAAATATAAAATCATCTTACGAACATGGCTGTCCAGCTGTCCCCACACCATTTATTGAAAAGTCTATCCGTTACCCCATTGATTGCCTCGGTGCCACTGTGAAAACAGAGTTGACCGTAAATGTAAGGATTTATCACTGGATGTTGATTTCTGTTCTTTGGTCTATATGTCTCTCCTAGGACAGTACCAAAGTGTCTTGATTGCTGTAGCTTTTATAATTGTTGAAATCCAGTTGTGCAAGTTTTACAACTTAGTACTTTTTCAGAATTTTAGCTACTCTGGGATCTTGTGCATTGCCACATAAATTTAGATTTAGCTGGTCATTTTCTACAAAAAAAAAATTCTGGAATTTTATATGTATTGTGGGTCTACAGATCATTTTGGGAAGAATGGCTCTCCTAATATTCTCGTTCAGGGACCTGGAATATTTCTCCATTTACTTAGATCTTTACTTTTTCTTAGTAATGCTTTGTAATTTCCAGTGTACAAGGCTTGCACTTCTTTTGTTAAGTATGTCATTCTTTTTGATATTCCTAAGTATTTCGTTCTTTTTGGGTGTAATTTTTGATGGAATTTTTTTCTTGGTTTCATTTTGGATTTTTCATTGCTAAGTATGTAGAACTTGCCATTGATTTTTGTACATTGATCTGGTATCTTATGGCTTTGATGAACTCATTTATTGTGCTAATAGTTTTTTTTATACAGACTCCATAGGTTTTTCTACACACAGGATAATGTCTGCAAATAAAGACAATTTTGTTTCTTCTTTTCAACTCTGAATGCCTTTAATTTTTCCTCCTCCTCCTTTTTTCCCCCCTTTATTGTATAGGATAGAACCTCCAGTACAGTGTTGAATAGAAAGTGAAAAGAGCACACATCCTTCTTTGCTTTGTGCCTAATATTAAGGGGAAAACATTTGTTTACCATTAAGTACAGTGTTAGCTGTAGGTTTTTCATAAATGCCCTTTATCAGTGAGGAAATTTCCTCCTGTTTCTAGTTTGTGGAGAGTTTTTATCATGAATGGATTTTGTCATATATTTTCATGGATTTATTGAGCTAGTCATGTGGCTTTTATCCATTGTTCTGTTAATATGGTATATTTTTATTTTTTTAAAGATTTTATTTATTTTTGAGAGAGAGAGAGCACAAGCAAGGGGAGGGGCAGAGGGAGAAGCAGACTCCCCACTGAGCAGGGAGCTCGATGTGGGACTTGATCCCAGGACTCTGGGATCATGACCTGAGCCAAAGGCAGATGCTTAACTGACTGAACCACCCAGGCAGCCCTAGGTATATTAATTTTTTAATGTTGAACCAACTCTGTATTCCTGGGGTAAATCTCACTTCATGGTATATAACTCTTCTAAATGTTGCTCATATTTTTTTAAAGATTTTTGTGTCTGTATTCATGAGGGAAATTGGTCTGTACTTTTCTTGTTACTGGTCGTCTTATGACTTTGGTACCTGGATAATATTGGCCTCATTGAATGAGTTGGGCAGTGTTTCCTCCCTTTCATTTTCCTGAAAAGACTGTGTTAGAATTGTATTATTTCTTCTTTAAATATTTGTTAAGAGTTTACGTGTCTAAAGCCAGGCTTTCTATTGTGGGAGGCTTTTTTTGGTTTTTTTTTTCCTACTTGGTTCGATACTTTATTCCTTTTTCTTTTTTAAGTATTGGGGTTTTTTTTTTAACAGCTTTATTGAGATATACATAGATAAAATTCTCCTATGTAAAGTGCACAATTCAGTGGTTTTATTATATTTACAAAATTGTGCAACTATCACCAATTTTAGAACAATTTTATCATCCCAAAGGAAACCTTGTATCCATTGGCAGTCGTTCCCCCTTTGCCTTCTCCCTTGCTCTAGGCAACCACTAATCTATTTTCTGTCCCTATATAGATCTGCCTATTCTGGAAATTTCCATTTAAGTAGAATCATCCAATATATGGCCTTTTGTGATGGCCTTCTTTCACTTCGCATAATATTCTTAAAGTTTATTCGTGTTATAGCATGTGTCGGTACTTTATTCCTTTTTATTGCCGAATATATTGTTTATCCATGCATCAATTGATAGGTTGTTTCCACATTTGGGCTGCTGTGATTCATGTACAAGTTTGTGTGGGGACATAAATTTTCATTTCTCTTGAGTAGATAGCAGGACTGGAATTGCTGGGTCATACGCAACTCTATTTTTAACATTTTGAGAAACTGCCACTGTTTTTCAAAGCAGCTGCATCATTTTACATTCCTACTGGCAATGTATGAGGGTTCCAATTTCTGTTATTATCTGTCTTTTGA